TAACCATTGAGATGGCTGTCAGGAGTGTTGTAAAGAGGACAGGCGCTTCAAAAGCCAACGCTCATCCCTCGGATCTGCTTTGCAATGGTGCCGGATGCGAGAGGACAGTACTCTCGCTTACCTTCCCTAGCGTCCCCTCGTTCCCATTGTCAGCGCCCGAATACCAAGACGCCGGGTGAAAGAAAGCAGCTGATCTGATTAGCAGCTCGGGCGCGCTAAGGGATTGTCGAATCATGCCTCCTAAGGAGGAAACTCTTGTGGAATCTTCAGGAAAGGGTGGTAAAGTTGAAAGGACCTTTCCCCCCTCCCGCTGTCTTGGTGATAAGCTCTATCGTTTGGTGCTGAAGTGAGCAGCTGCCAGCCTGATTTTCCATTATGGACTAATGTTGTGCGTTTGCAACAATAAACAATTAATGTTGTTTGATTTCTTACATTTAGGAACCCAAGCAAACAGCTGCCCTCTCCGCTGGTGGAGGCAAACGGCTAGTCCTTGACATGCCGCCGGCTCCGTGCCTGCGGAGGAAGGGTCAACCGCAAGGAAACTTTGAGGATTCTGCCACATTGGGTGGGGGAAGGCTCTGGTGTTTGGGAGGAATAAGCGGAGGAAATTGTGGATACCTGTTGGCATCAGCGTTGGCGGCAGCACGTTTTTATCGTTTCCCAGCCTTGGCTGGAGCCTGGGAGAACGGGAGTAGGTTCCTTACGAACCTGTTACGTACTGGCAGAACCCAGGCAAGAGCCTTTTTCCCTCCGGTCCTGTGAGGGGCGCGACCAGCCCCCCAAAGGTTCTCGGATGAGAAGCGGCCAGATCACAGAAAGCGCAGCTCTGGGCTCAGCGGTCCCTAGGAGAGGGACTACGGAGTCCCCGGCTTAAAGGGGCCTCCGTGCGCGCAATCTCGAGCTCCGGGGAGACACTGCCTAGGGGTCCTGCAGGGGTGCTGGGCAGCGTCTTGGCGAGGGCAGAGCCGCGGGGCGACTCTGGAGCCCGGCAAGTTTGCAGCGGGCACCGCGCCTCCCAGAGCTGGAGCTGCCACTTGTGGAAAAGCCTCGCGCTGGAGCTTTCGCAGCTGAGCCTTGGCCCTCAGCCTTGCCGCGGGGGTCGCCCTCCCTCGCCTCGGAGATGAGGCGGTGCAGAAAACCAGCCATAGGGCACTCGGGCCCCCTCACCTCCTTTTTTCCCTGGCTTGCACCCTCCGCACAGCGGGCGGCTGGTGCTTCTCATTCACCGCACGCACCCCGCAGTGAAGGCGCGCGGCTGCAGCCGCGCCTGCCTGCGTTGGGAGGCTGCGAAATAGTCAAGTCCCCGCAGGGAAGGAAAGCAGCAGGAAAACTGGAGGGGCACAGCCTGGAGCTTGCTACTCTCTAGGATCTGTTGTCAAAGCAGTTTGCAAAAACAGGCCAAACCCTGAGGCGAACGTACGTATCCCCCATGGATATCGCGAAAGACACAGCTCAGCCCCGAGCCTTTGCTAGGAACCCGCATCCACCATCTGAGAGGCAGGAGGAGCGCAAGGTGTCCGAAGGGGCACGAGAATTCCTATAAGAAACGGTCCCTTCTGGATCGTCGGGACATAGAGAAAAACGGGGCTGGGTTGGGGGAACACTTACTTGTGTGGGGCCCTGCGCTGGCTAATGTCAAGCCTCCTGGTTCACAAATGGCTGGAGGGGCTCGGGGTCAGCTCCCGAGGGCGGCGAGCGCCGACCGGTCCTCGCGCGCTAGGCAGGCACCTCCGGATTCCGTTCATGCCTCTCGGAGCTGCAGGGCTTGGTGCGGAGACGCGGGGCGGGCGCGCAGGGCTCTGGGTGTCCGCAGCCCAAAGTGAAGCTGGTGGCTTGACGCTACCGTCTATGCACAAACCGGCAGCGGCGGCGGCGGAGCTTGGAAGAGGCAGGGAGATTCCAAATAAATCCGCTAATTCTGGGCTGAGCGCTCCGGCGTGCGAGCCCGCCTGCCTGCCAAATGTAACTGTGAAGTGATGTGGAAAAGTGAGCCGGGTGCCTCCCCTGACGGATCTCATTGGGCAGAGCGCAGAGGCAGGTCTACCACTTGGAAATTCATGTAAGCAGTCCCCCCTCCCCGCCCCCTCCCCGCCTTCCTCCTTCGCTCTCGCGCGCTGGCTCGATCGCTCTCTTTCCCCCTACCCAAGTGGGCGCACAACTTTTCTCTCCTCGCTCCCGAGCACGCCCCGCGCGTCTCTGCCGCCAGCGCCACGGGGTGAAGATGCGCCCTTCCGCGCGGTGCGGGCAGCCTGCCGAGGGCCGAGCTCCTGGATAAGGGGGCTGGCAGATGATAACAGCATGCGGAGGAGGTACCCGCGAGCTTTCTCTCTAGAGGTCTCACCTGAGCTCTGGGGCTGGCGTTATCTTGTAAAGCGTCTCAGTGACTCTCAGCTGTTTTCGGTAGAAGGAAGAGGACGCGACAGGGCAAAGGGTTGAGCGTGGGCAGCTTACCTCCGCTTTATTCCAAGGGCCTCTTGCGTACAGAATAGGGTGATTGTGAGACCCCTACCTGCAACTCAGACGCTATGGTTTAGAGGCTGTGTGTCGCGGTACTGTGATGGAGCACATTCCTGATGTCCTCGCGCTCCTTTGGGAAAATGGGATGAGGGGCAGTAGAGGGGCAGCAAGGAGGGGAGCGCAGTAATTGGTTGTGGGGAGGAGGGCAGGCAAAGCAGAACTTGCTTGGGAAATAGGGGAGGATTGCTAGGTCTTCTCAATGTGCCCTGATCTCATATCCTCTCAGGTACCATCCTTGCAGCTCTCCTGCCTCCACCAAAATCTGCCCTGTCTGTGGCCACTTCAAGTCTTCTGATGGGCTGCGCTCAAATCCTGAGAAATGGCCACCCTGGGGTTACAGGGATCATGAATCAGGAGGTCCAGATTTCTTTTCTTTTCAACACTGGGACTAACATGTAGACGATGCCACTGTGATCATCTTCTAATAAAATTAGCTAAATATAAGACAAATTAATTCTTACCTGGAAAAAAAAATCCCTCCCCTCCACAGGAGATCCCGATTTAGTCCCTTCCCTGAGTGCACTAGATGTGAGCCTGAGGGTGGATTTTACCATCTGGGGACAGAGCCAGAACAGAAGGGGGAAAGGGGTGCAAGGGACCAGACGCACGGTCTGTAGAGCTTGTACTGTCTGACTCGAATGAATGAGAAAGAGTGAACACAATGAGAAAATAGGCACAATATGCTTATGATATTTATGCAAATTTGACATTTTTTTGTGTGCTGCATCTAACAACCCATTGTGAAATGTAAAAAAGAATATTGACTGTAGCTCTAACATCGGTTTGTTTCACTTTGGAGCTGTCATGGGCAAGAAACTTAGTGGATAATTTCAGAGAGGGAGAGGTGAAGAGAACCAGGTGGTATTTTTCTCCCCCCAGGCAGTCACTAAGTAACTGTTTGTTCTCTTCTCAGACTGTGTCTGCTTACAGGGTATTGGAATTGGCTAATTCTGTCTTGGAAAAAGGAGCAGCAGTCAAGGCTCAATCAAATTATGACTGCTGCTAGACCAGACAGTCCCAAGTGGACAAAGAAATAGATCACATTTTGGGTTGTGCTTAATTTCAGACATTCATTTTCACTTCGAACAAATAATTTGAACCTTTCCTTGGGGTAACTTCTTACACCTATGAGAACTAAAATAAAAGTCATATGCTACTGAAAGCTGGGGATTGTCACAAGTAACAAACTCATCTCAAAAAAAAAGAAAAAGCCAGATTGTTAGACAATATCCTCAAATCTCATTTTCTTAACAAACTATGCTGACAAAGATAGTCAGAATCCAATGGTTTTTAAAGAGAGCCAGAATCCAATGGCTCTGGGTATCTAGGGTTAAGAAGAGTTTGCTTTAACTCATCTTGTCCATATTTACTCTTAAAGCAGTTATATACATTATCTTCCCTGAATTTTGGTCCTCTGGAATTCAGGGTAACCCTATCTGTACCTGCTAATATCTACTGAAAGCGCAGGAGTAGGAATTTCCTGACTAATTCTTAAGAGAGGTTTGGATGATTAAGCAGTGTGATAGAGGATTTGGATAATGTTAAAAAGCCCCTATAAGGATATTTCTAAAATAATCACGGATGCTGAAAGACAAGGCATTTATCTCTTTAACAATTCCACCCACTCTTAATAAGATGCAGTGCAATGTCACAATGGTGAGAGCCTACCCCCTTAAGAAAGTAGACGATGCTCTCTTTCAACATCCTCAACATCCCCTCCAGGGTTACAGCCTTCCAGCGGGAAGAGGAACACGGTGGTACACAGGCTTTTTAGAATGGCGACTGAAATTGCGTGTGTTGTGGAGCATTGCAGGGGAGGAAGGGTGAGGAATGATCTGATAGGGCAGGAGTATAATTGGAGAAGGAGTTGGGAGGAGGGAGAGAAGATTGCATTCAGAATAACCTTGGCTGACTAACGCAAAAAGTAGAATGAGGCAGGATGTCTCTAGCCTGGGTCTCCGTGACAGACAGGCAGTTTTGCAAGGGAATCTACTGTAGAGAGTGAATGAGATACAGAGGGACTCCATGTAGTGAAAGATACTTTTATTTTTTCACTATGACTGGAACCTTTGTCGTAATTTTGACCAAGGGAGACAGTAAACCAAGTGGCCAGTTAGTTGCAGAGTGGGGAATCAGATGGTTCATAGGAAACAGAGCTGAAGAAGACGGAGAGAGTGTTAGGAAGACTCCAGCTTCTCTGGTTGGAGCAGGAAATGACAGAATGGAACGTAACTATTATTGGCTGCATTAAAATGCAATGTTTTGTAGTTTTCATTCATCAATATAGAATTAAAAATTAAAACAAACTAAAACCAAAATGAATTTACCGTATTATGATTATTGGTAACCTTTAGATTTACTGAATTGCTTGTAATGTGATATCTATGTGCCAGGTATTATCATTTAAAATAAAATCTCAAGAATCTGACTTATGAAAAAGACCAACTCAAATTACCATGTAATATTTTTCCAGAAATGCAGAGTCCCTTTCCTGTATTTCATTAGGATGAAGATGTCTGAAACCACGCCCTTTATTTGGGGTATGGGGCGTAGGTAAGTAATATATAACAACTCTGGCATTAAGCATAAGAAACATAAATTTTATTTTGGATTCCAGTATTGAAGCATAAGTCATAAGAATAAAAACATTAAGAAAGAAGTTTTGAGAAGTTTGTAAATGTTTAAGTAAATTTAGGATAGCTGTTTTGTTTGTTTATGAATTTGCTTTAAACCATTCTCTTACTAAGTTTATGAGAAGATACGATGGTGCTCCCGTTAAACAAATGTGAGCAATTCTGAGGATTCCTTTAGGCCAGTGGTTTTCAACCTGAAACCCTGGACAAGCTTCTGCCTCAACATTCACTGGAATTTGTTAGAAATGCAAATTATTGGACCCTGAATCTGAGTGGGGCTCAGAAATCTGGGTTTTAGCAAGTGTCCCAGGAGATTCTGTTACCTGATAAAGTCTGAGAACACTGCTTTAGGCAATTTCTTTCTCATGTGACATAAATAAAGAGAAGAAAAAAATAAAATAGTAGATTGTATTAATGTTTACTGTTTTTGTCCCAGAATATTCTAAGACAAACTACTATCTTAAAAAACAAGATTTGAAAAGAAGAATAAAAGTGTAAGCACACTAAATTTTCAATCTAAGTGACCCTACTTAACTGTTTAGCATGGGATTTGAAAAACTAATTGATTTCTTTAGAAGTAGTTTATGAATTCTTGGCATAAAATATCACTGAGCTTGTATTCAGAGTTGTGACGGCTCTACTTTCTTGGGCTTGCTGGTTTTAGCTGTCCTGAATTAGGCCTGAATCTCTGAATATTGACTATAATTACTAATCTTGAGTTGTCATTATATTTTCAGTAAATGGGGAGGGTGTAAACACTTTTCTGAAACCACATCTGTGCTGAGAGCATGTTGGGAGAAGTTTTTCAAATGGCATTATCTCCCATCTTCCCAGGTGTTAGAAAAGAGATAAAGCTTCAATTCAGCTCTTCTGAACAGATTGGTCGGGTGGGGCGCAGGTGGGGCACTGGATAGATTTAAGAGGAACTGGTACAAAGCTATCCAATAAACCAGTCAGCTTTTGTGGACTACACACTTAGGCATTTAGTGTTTTGGTTTTTTTCTATCTTTTTTTTTTCTTCTGTAAGAGAATACCAACTGGATTAAGATTCTAGACCACTCTTGTTTAAACTTAGGAGCAAAAAAGGAGGAAAAAATTAAAAAGTTCACAATGTGTTTCAAGTAAAAAGAAGAAAAGAAGAAAAAGAGTAAGAATAAAAAAAAGAGGAAAGGAGTATAAAAGGTACCCCACTCCGAAATACTAACTAACTTGGGTATAACAGGTGGTATTAATTTAAAAACTAATAATTAAAATTTAAATTAATTTTAAGTTTTGGCTTAAGAAGATTCATTTTTGATATGTTTGCACTTACACTAAGGTACATTACAGCAGTATAGGGGAATACAGATGTATGGAGGAGGAGAGGTGAAGGCAAAACAATTATCTTACTATGTGTAAAACGGAATTTGTAGTTGTGATTAGTTGTCCAGTTGCTTATCAGAGAGAAGACCACATATAAATGCAGTGGACAAATGTTACAAGATACTGAAGGGAAATGAATTATTGAGAATGTGAACATGCTTCTTTTATTAGTCAAAGCTGGATAATACTAAGGATTTTTGTTTGTTCTTTTGCTAAAGACGCTGCCATGTGGAAATCAGGGCACTGCTTTTAGGCTGCCGTCTCCCGCCTGCATAGGCGACTAGTCCTGTTAGAGTGGATGTCGAGGCTTTTTTTCTTCTACCTCAAGTGCCCTCTAGCGTGCAATATCTGTGCAGGTTGCTATGTACAAGGAGGAGGAAAGAAGAAAGAAAGAGAAATATTCTACCAATTGCCATCCTAATTCCTGAATGGCTCTGCTCTTCTTTTCTCCTTCCTCAAAGGGGTCGTTTCCACCTAAGTGTTTAGCAAAACAAAAAAAGGTGCTGTTGCTTTTGCATGAAAAACTAATCACTCATTTTCTAAACTGGGAAACAAATGCTAATCGTTTCTCAGGGGTTTCTTTTGAACATTCATCATAATTTTCCAGAAGTTTCATACACTCTGGTAATCAGGCAAATAAAAGAAGGTAAGTTACTCCCTAGGAAGAAATCCTGTTTTGTTCCTCACTCCACCACAGACCAGCTGTAAGGCTTTTGATGCAAAATGATTAACCTCTCAATGGGTTTTAAGTTTGCGTCTCCATAAGAGTGCATAATACTTCTTTCCATCCTCAGGGGGGGTGGTGTGAGGTCTAACTGAGGTTTCTAAAACAATTTCGGTTCCTTAGATACAATTCGATATACATTTGAACTTGACTTTCATCTTGCAACTACTAACGGGGTTTCAAATTCTCTTTGGTAGTCCATAGGGAAACTGTGATCAGGATCTCTATTTTCATAAACATGTCGTTAAAACAGCTCTATTGTAAATAGTGGATTTACTTAAGAGATTTGGAATGGTAGAAAATGGAAAAGGATATTTGCAGAAGAGAAAAATACTTGTTTTTGCAAACATATCTGTGTATGAATAAATATAGCTAAATAGTAAGGCAAAATTTCTGCAAGACATACATTTGGGCATATCTTTCTAAATTTTAAAACAAACTAACAATAACAGAAGGTATTTTTACTCACCCAGATGCCACCCACTAAGCTCTTAGTCTCTGAGAAAGGAGGAGATACCTGTAAACAAATTTATGTGTTGGCATCTGTTCAGATGGTAAGATATCTAAACACCTGTTACACAACTTGGAGATTACTATTATAGTGATGTGATTACTATGCAGCATTGTGTTTTATTAATATCCTCATGGCTACAATACTTTGAAGGGCAAGAAAGGAGAAAGACAAGCTAACATGACATACTTCATTACTTTCTTCTCATGCAGTATCTCTTTAATTATTAAAGCACTATGGATAGCGGCTCTTGTTTGTATCCTTTAAAATAGGAGAAAACTGAGGCTCAGAGAAGTTAAGTGATTTGTTCAAGGTTACACAGTTAATAAAGAGTATAATTTAAACTCATGTTTTCCAACTTCAGTTGTTGTTTAGCACTGCCTCCCAATATTAAAATACTAACAAGTGACTATTATAACCTACTTTTAAATAATGCAATACCTCACTATAGAATGGATTCATAAGTTGCAAGGAAAGAGAAGCTAAACATCATGTGTTTACAAAGAGAATCTGAATCTTTAATTGCGAGTGATTTTGTAAATATAGATCCTAGATTCCATGGCTAACCAATTAAATCAAACTCTCCAAAAGAATATGTATTTTTTTTAGAAAGCAACAAAGGTAATTTTGATTCAACATTACAAGCATCATTCTGGAGACCATTTGGAAATAATGAAACCAAATGACATCTAAAGTCTTGTTTACCTCCTTACTGTTAGAGTCTAAGGTTAAGTCACAGTTCTGCTATTGCTATATAGGTTTGTAGATCCTTTTATATATTTCCAAGCACATCAGCTCTCCTATGTGATCCTTGCCATGATCTTGTGAGGTGAGAAGACGATATATTATTACTTCGATTTTACAGAGTTACAGGCTTTTAGAGCCCAAAGGGCCCTCAGAGATCATCTAGTTCAACCTCTTCATTTTACAGAAAAAGAGCTGGGTAAGGCTTTTGACTTCTGATCCTAAGGTTACAGAGCGAGCTCTTGAACAAAAGAAAACCAGAGCGCAGGTCATTGGTCTTTAAAGGATGTAAGCATGACATGTGTCCCTGCATGTGGGAAAAATTATTAAGCTAATAACCTGAGTAGTCTTCAACATATACAGTTAAAAGATGAGAGAAAACAAAAAAAAAATGTAGTTCAGATACTCTGATCCAAATTAATGTTGTCTAGAGAAGGTCTAGTTTCTGGTGAGATTACCTTGGATCTCATCACCTAGTCTCTCTTCAGTCTAATAATATGTCTTGTCTTGGTTGAATTATTTTAGTATCATAGAGTCTAGCTCACTAAGGTAGCCCCAAAGCTTTTTTCCAAGCAGATCACATGTGCTGTAGATTTTTGAAGGGAAGATTATTAGGAAATTAGAGGAAGACAACAACATAAGAAAAACAAAAAGTGCTCTCATATGCTCTAATGTACTGAAACTTTCACTGGTCTTTTCTGATAAGAAACCCAAACAGAAATGATAACTCATTTAAAATGGAAGTATGTGAGACTGACTCCTACATTATCCCAAAGCACAGAAAAGCCAACGTACCTGACTTGTCCAAATCAGGAAACCCAATGAATTTTTTATCATTCCTCTATTTTGCATAATGGTATTCCGGCTTTCTTCCCTAAAATTATCTCATTGTTCCTGAGCAGGGAACACCTTATTTTTCACTCGGTTGTTTTCTAACCTCAAATTACATAAGGCACATAATCACTTTTCTGGAATAGAAAATGATAATAAATGGCACTAACAGTTGTAATTGGTATTCTTAACCTTGAGGGCTTAATATCTTGCCAGGCACTATAGAAACTGATTTATATATGTTATCTCATTCATTCTCTATAACTCTCTAATTTTTCAGATGAAGAAACTGTGAAGGGAAATGTATTTTGCTTCTCTAAATCCCAAATAGACTTCTGCTTATCTCTTCCATATCACTTTATAACACAACCTATTTGTCATGTATGCACCAGCCAAGCTACTTTGTTTTTCTCAAGACTTTGAAAACGGTAACTCCTTTATTTGTTGGTGGGAGAGTAAAGCCGGCAAGGAATAGCAAGACATTTGGAGTCATATAGATCTGATTTCAAGTTCTGACTGAACACATTACTAGCTCTGTGATGTGGTTTGGCTCTGTCCCAAATCTCATCTTGAGTTGTAGTTCCCATAATCCCCACATGTCCTGAGAGGGACGCAGTGGAAGATAATTTAATCATGGGGGTGATTACCCTCATGCTCTTCTCATGATAATGAGAGTTCTCATGAGATCTGATGGTTTTACAAAGGGCTTTTTCTCCATTTGCTTGGCACTTCTCCTTGCTGCTGCCAT